CATGCATTGGAATAGCAACAGAAATGGATTCCCGTGGGCAATGGAAAATAAGGTTTGCACTTGGAAAATACAATAGTAATAACCACATGGTAAAACTGCAGATGCATGTGATGATAAATTAGATTTATCATCAGTCTTATACCATTCACACCTGAAATTTGCCCATAAATCCACCTCATTTGAGGCTTATTTAATGTTTCTTCTAAAGGTGCCCTGGAGCTAGAGATTCAATTTACACAAGGACTGACAGGGGTAAAGAAAGAAAACCATGTTTCCTTCCTTCCCTACAAAATGTGCAACTTCCTTCTCAAATATACACTAGCTTGAGTCCTGAGATGGGTACATTTCCATCCGTGATCAGTTCATAGTTTGACTTTCGATGCTTTGCAAACATGAAGTAATAAGAAGCTAGGAAGGGGATCTGGAGAAAGAAAAGATTTCCCAAATACCTAATACAATATACAGTACTGCCAGTTAATTCTACTAGAACCTGTACATGTATTTATGACTGAAGTATATATTTATACTGTTTCTATTTCAGGTAAATTTAATACATGTAGATTTAATACATGTGCATTTAAAATTTTTCCAGTTTGCAAAGTCTTACTAGTTTTTCACATATTTTACCTTTCCAAGAGGTGGTGAAGCTTTGCTTTCAACAGGTGCCAATCTAAATACAATTATCCTTGGGTTTCCAAGTCTGTGCTGGTAAAAGACTAAGGCTACTTTGAAATACTACATGAATGAAAATACAGATGGATGGGAGAAGAGCATGAATGGAGTAATAAACAATAAAAAGGGGTTTGGTTGCTGACCATACTAGTAACAAATGGGACTAAGGAGAATGAACAGATCCTTCCTCACATTACCCCATTGGAAATACAGGGAAGGGACAATATGCTGACATCATAATTTCATTGCAGTCCCATTTTTCCACACTTTCAGAGCATATCTATCACGCTTTGAAAGAAAAGACACTAGATGCTTGGACCAGATGATCTTCATAGGTCCTTTCCAATCTCAACCATTCTGCGATCCTGCGTTACAATATCACTGCCAAAAAAATGAGGCAATTTTCAAAAAGGCACCATACAGCAGGCAAACCTGGAATTCCCCACCAAAAGGTACAGAAAAATCCTGAAGGCACACATTATGCTTTAACTTACACATCACTGAGGCAAGCTGTCACCCTTGCTGTCCAGCGGTGAGTCCACAGAAAGTGTACATGAATGTTTCTTAGTCTATGCCAGGCTCACTAGCCAAGTGCTTGAAAGAAGCAGGCTAATGTGAGACAACACCATTTGGTTCCCATGAGCTGCCATCCTCCCTCCAGGGCTCTGAAGACCCCAGGATTTAAACAGCTGGTCCTTTCCTTTTCTTTTTTGATGCTTTATCACAGCAGCGAGGCAGCAGATTGCTTATATTCCATTTTTCTCGGACTCTTTTTAAAGTGTGAATGAGCATGTGTGTATGTTGAAGTGATAACATAAGGCTAAGCCACATTTCTAGTAAATATTACTTTAAATTATCCTGGAATGTAAAAGTGCACTTGTGCAAAACTAGCTGCCCAAAAAGGGAAGCAGAGCTGTAAACCATCCTGCCTGCAAGTTGAGCATGTCGGCAGGAGAGTCACTGTATAAGGGCATGTTTACAAGCCTGCATCTATGCTAAATCTCATGCCCTAAAACACAGAACATGCATGCACTCGATTGCAACAACCTCTCCTATGCCAGCTTTTACATTGTGTCAGGAAAGCAGCTGAGACCTTGTGGGCAGAGAAGCACCAGATTCCAGGGTGAATTTAAGCCTTTTCATCTCTATAAGGTGGGTAGAGGCGAGGAGAGCAAGAAGCGACCTCCCACCTGCAACCAAGCGCGTGAGCACTGTGAACCACATCAATGAAGCCACCTTCAGGGTGGATTTATGCCAATCTCTCATTTTGACTCACTCCAGCAGTGACAGCCAAGACGTGGTCCAAACTCAGTTCCTGACCTCCCCTCGGCTGAGATGCAGTGGACCATGCAAGCCATTTTTACCTGTTTCAGAACAAAATCAAGTGGGCAAAGAAGCTGCTTAAAGGGCTCTGCTTCTGAACGCACAGCAAGGGCAGTCAGACCCAGGAACACCTGCGACAGCCCCATAAACCTGTGCATTGCCAGCAGTAATGACGTGTGTAATTATCAGTAAGGCTGATGCTATGGGTGAAGCCATAAGCAGAAAGCAATGAAAAATTAAGGTACAAATCAGGTGTTTCTCTTTCATCCACAGGCGCAATTTAGTGATGCCGGAGTGTTGTGCAATGCCTGCAATGCTGAGAGAGAGGGAAGCAGGACTGAGGCAGGCAACAAGGCTGGCGGCATCCCTGAATCGGGTGACACTGCTGTATAACCTCTGGCAAATCATTTAACTCTCCCAGGCTTTGGGCCCCCCCTTTTCTTCAAGTCCCTGTTTATTAAATCTGTAAGACAGGAACAGTATCACTAGACGTGGTCATTGCCCTGATTTACTGGATCCCTAATTTTGGCTGGAGCTGTTACTGTAATGCAGATAAGCAAAACAAAAATGTTAAGTTTTGGAAGTTGTGACTTCTGGGGACATAAATACACACTCTGCATTCCCCTGCAGAGCTGGGATCTTGCAGTGACACAAGACTTACTGCTGCACGCCTTTCCTTCGGGCAAGTCTGATTTTGGAAGTGAAGTTACATTATTGGGAGTGGGGAGGGAATAATTCTGCGATAAACAGAAAGACAGCCACCACAAATAGTAGAGTTTTGCTCAGATTCTTGGGTGAAATACATATAAAAGCAAATGCAGGCAGTGCAGAGGTGCAGTATGACCCTGCAACCCTACAGTCACTGGGAAAATAGTGAGGGTCAAGAACAAGGAACATGTTTGGGGGGGGATAAATCACTGAACTGGAATCTAAAATGCTAGGCTCTTCTGTTCAACATACCACTCCAGCATAATCAGCCTCCATCAGATGCCCTGCATGCCATACCAGGCTGAATTCAACCATATGTTTGTAGCTAAGCTATGAAATTCATTTGTCAAGTCCCGGGCGTTTTTGGCAAGTTGTCCTGTACTATATGTGTGGTCTGCTACACTAAAACAGGCATGCAGAGCATTGCAGTGGGTACGTCTATAGGATCCAGAGGCAACATAGCCAACGATTTCCCTGCTCTGACTTTTGGTGCTGTGTAATAATGAATGGAGATAGAGAGGACTGAAGTCGAAGACATTTCACCACAGTTCCTAGGCTTAAAGCCCGCTGAAGGCTGCTGGAACGAGCTATAAATACGTATCTGAGCTCCACGCCAACTGTGTAAACTCAGAAGCTCCCTGCTTCATTCAGGGACTTTAGACCCACCAGCGAGTCCGGAGCATGTTAGACTAGAGGCAAGTCAGTGGCTGGCAAGAGTCACATTTTCCTTGTGAAAGGGGATGTGGAAGATGCTTGGACAATGCAGGGGTGGATGATGGATAGGAAATGATTTCTCGGGTGTTTTGAAAGGAAACACATAATCCAGAGTTATGGGCCCTCATTAATCAGGCGGAGGAGTCTTGAGGTGCCAAATCTCGCAAGAACAGCCGGAGGACTTGGAGTCATTCGTAAGCTCTTCCTAACTGAACCTTGGCGTGACATTCACCCAAATTCTAGAACCCAATTCAAATATCATCACCTTGGCCTATGAACAGTTGCCTAGTGGCTCTGATTCAAGCCAATTCACAACAAAAGATAAATCTTTCTGCTCCTAAAAGAAAACAAAAAGCTGCCGAGAAATTCTTTAATTCCTCTGCCTTGTGCAATCTTGGGTCAGTAGTTTTTGCAGCAAGAAGAGGTCAGTCTCATTTCTTCACCTCCTGAACGCACATCCTGCTTCCCTGCCATGTAGGTTGCTACAGGCAGTCCTGCCACCATATTTTTTAATGCAGCAAGCAGTGCAGAAAGGAGGCAGAAGTGTCAGAAAGAGGTTTCATTACAGTTTTTGATATATAGCATGAGGATGTCATTTTAACAGAGATTATCAGGCTGCACAATAGGAAAAAGCCAGGATTCCTCTCAGCCTAGCAAGATCATCTCATCTTCAGAAGGAGCTTCAGCTCATGAAGATCAGCAGGTACCATCTAACATTTTCCATGGTGAAAACAAGACCCATGGAATCACTGTTACATGGAGAAGTGCTGTGATTTGGCCCGCAGTGACAATGCAAAGCCAACTCTAAGGCTGCATGCTGACATCTCTGGTCCCCCAGCAACCTAGCTGCCCCTTAAGTTGGGTCCTTGGACACTCTTTTCAGTTCTTCTAAGATGTATAAACTCAAATAGCCCAAACCTTAACAGCCTGCACATTTGGGGCTAGATTGAGTCCTTATGAATGTCAAACTATCTCCATTTCAGCTGAGGATGGCAGAAGACACAGGCACTCAGCACTCCTTGTCCTCCAACCCCAACTGTATATCCAACCTTCAGAGGATGAATCAACCTCCTCTGTGAAAGCAACATCCTGGCAAAACCAGCCACAGCTTCTCCCAGGTAATTTGGAAGATATCCATGTTTCAAATCTGCCCACTAAACCAGTCAGAAAATCATAATAGTGCCATCCAGGAAAGATTTATCTGTAACGTGTAAAATGCATTTCCCCACTTCGGCATGGGGAAAGCAGCAGATGAGATAAAAAGGAAGTTTTACAAGGTACATGCCACACTCCAAGCTATGCTCTGATAGAGCAACACCTCTGAGCAGAAATCCACCTATTTACAGATGGCTTCTAGTGCTATACTGTAGCGATTGTTTCCCACCTCCCACTCATGTTGTATTTATGCCCTAAGTTTGAAACACCCACTGATCCAGGCTGAGGTCGTGAGATGCTCTGGGGAGAAACAACGGCCGTTTCCCTGCACCTGTCCCAGCACAGCGAGGGGGACAGGCAGCGTCAGGCTGGCCCTTTGCTGGGGACGGCTCAGCATCATCCCTGCACATTTGGACCCAGGTACTCACCTAAGAGCTGCACTCCGCGGGTGAGTCCGTAGACGTCAATCAAAGCCCAGAGGGGCTCTGCCGTCCTCACCCCGCTGAAGAAGAGCATCGCAGCAGAGTCGTTCACCCGATAGAAAACCCGTCCCTTCTTGTCCACCCAGAAGGCTATGATGTTTCCCTCGTTTGCAAACTCTTCTGGCAGAGCCTTCGCCCAAAAACCGCTTTGGGAAACCAAGTCAGGGCATGCATACTTCGGCAGAGTGTCAGGGTTAATCCTCGATGGATCCTTGGAAGTAAACCCAAGTCGAAGAGCCCCACTCCAGCAACACTGCTTTTTAGTGATCTGCAAAGATAACAGCAGCAATAACAGCGTTTGGCACTTGAACGTCTACTTACACACTACAGGCTCTATGCCATCGAGCACCAACGGCCACCGCACAGATGAGCACACTAGATTTAGGAAACATTTTACCCACCAAATACTGCTGTAGCTTTTTCAGCTGCAAGCAGCAATGCTGCACACTTAGGATACAATGCACATGTTTAAAAAAAAAATCCAATTAAATCTATGCGGAGAGGTGAAATGTAATTACAGCTGCATGATGACTCAGTTCTATTTCTAGGGTAATTCCTTTTGGCCTAAGAATCATCCCCTCGCAAAATGTGCCAAAAATGGCCATAAGAGCTTTTATCTCAGCACCTGCAGCAGCAGAGCTCTTCCCCCGTGGTGCTCGGATGATGGGGTCTCTCATGACCTGAGGGAAAAGAACTGGCTCCAGAATCACAGTCACCACCATAGGGTTTTCTGGGTTTCCCAGCCAAGTAAAAGATAGTCTTACCCTGTTTAGCTTGTCAGATTGGATGAAATCACAGCCTTGCAGCAGAGAACTTGTGTGTGGGAAAGCACAATTTAAAGTATTTAACTATATTAAATACACAATTAGGAGGCAACGATAGATGTTGTCTTATGATTGGGGAAAACTTATTTATTTCAGCTGTGAGTGGTGTTTTTCAAGATATGTTGTGCACATCCACACCCCACCTGTCAGTATGCAGTTACTTAGTGTGTCTGGGGTCAGGAACATCTGCTATAGTTTTTGGGATGGTGTGTGTGCCATATCCACCCTTCTGCACCTGAGGGACAGCAGGACAAAGGATCACAGATGCCCTCAGAGTCATCGACTTCTTCTCACACGAACTGAGCCCTGGACTGAAGGGGATCTGAGTGGAGCAGGCAGCGGGTCCTAAACACATGCAGCACATCCAAAACACCACCCAGTTACAAGGTCTCTTTCTTCCCATGGAAGCAGAGAGTCTTTCAGGGCAAGTATGGTCGCCAGACGGAGATGATGCCCTGTGACAGACGCGAATTTTTTCTCTCATTTTGTTGTTTATGAACCTGCTGGGAATTGTTCGCCTCAAAGGGATTCAGCCTGTCAGCATCCAGACTATGAAATGGAAGACCTAAGGATGCTGGATCCAATCCTGATGTGGGGCCAGGGCAGTTCCTGCATGCCAGTTGACACATAATTGGTGTTTCTGTTCATGCACTGAACCTGCAGCAAACATGAGAGAGCACTTGAGGTGGCCCTCTTCCATCAAACCCTCGGAAGCCTCAAGCAATTTCACTCTTGGCTGCAGGACAAGAGCAGAAACATAGACAGGTACCACCTCCCAGATGTCACACAAAACTTGCTATCTTACTGTAATTTCTTGCTCTGCCAAAGTGCTAATGGCTCAGATGAGTGGCAATGCCAGAGACTGAACTGTCCAGGACTGCAGGACTTTGTCCTCAAAAGTCTGGCAGCAGCCCATCATGTCCCAGCTTGGAAGCACAGGATTTTCACCAAGGGATTATCTTTGGACTTCTGCATTCTCTTCTAATCACATTTGTAAATATTGCATTTTCTTTCACATGTTCCTCTCCAAGGAGAATCTGGAACATGTGCCCTTGGGGGCACAACAATCTCACAACGAAGACATTGTTCAAAGCCTAGAGATTTCTGTTTTATAATTAAAGTATCAGAGAAAATAACTCAGAGCTTCAAAAAAAAGTGATCAACAGACAGTTCCTCAGTTAAGCAAGTGCTGCTCTTTATCCCCACTCAGTCCAGCCAAGCACCTAAACTGTTTACATGAAACACTTGAGCACTGACCTCAGCCGCAGGAACCATGGGAAGCTCCTGCTTGTGGGATGGACACTGGGGTGGGACTAAAAAGGACTGAAGCAGATTTGCTATTTCATATGCCTGGCCAGGGTGGGATGGGATCATGCATGTCCCCAGTGGAAGGGGGGGGGGATGGGGCACACATGTGACAAAATGGGGAATATATGCACACTCCAAGAAGAAGTCTCAATTATTTATTACAGCAAATTTACTGCAAGCCCTAAAAGCTTTTGGGTCTGAGATAAATATGGCCTCATTGTTATTTGTATCAACTTACTCTTTCACAGTCTCTTGCCAATACTTCACAGCAATCACAGCCCGCATGAAGTAAATATTCGTATGGTAATCGAGACTGCACATGTTCCATGTATTAATCAGCACCTATAAACAGTTCTCAATACAGTCTGACCACAGGCAAACTAATATCCAAATTAAAATCCAGTATAAAGCCTGCCAAGAATTAGACACAGCTGGACAAAGGGTACACAGTTTTGCTAAAAAAGGCAATAGTTAATGACGGACAAAATTCTCTCTTCAGCAGCCACTGCTAGCAGAAAAGCTTGGGAGGTCCACCGGGTACCAGAAGGGGAGGAAAAGATACAATCTACATCCAAACTGCTAAGCCATGGCTGCTTCCACAGATTCAGGCTCCTGCTCTTTACTGCCTTGTGTCACCTTTGACAGCCTCACTCCGCTCCCTAGCAGTGCCCTGAATTACGTGGAAGAAACCATACTGGGACATATACCTCGAAGGCAAAGAAAGAGGAAATCTGGCTGCTTGATGGCATTCCCAAAGCTGTGAAGAAATCTAAGAATAAAACCCGAGACGCAATACCTAATAAACAGAATGAAATCTCCTGACTTCTTTCCTCTGGTTTCCCAAGGGAGTTTAGACTTTACAGGTCCTGAATGATTGGGTTCGTGGTTAGCCTTTAGCTGGTAAGAAGGTTTAAGATGCCATTTTCCACAGGCACACACAATAACAAGGCAATTGCAGGATGGACTTATTAGAAAAGCAAAGATGTTTTCGTATTTCCATCCATCCCTAGAGTACAAGTTCTGCTGAAGCCTGTTGATTACTCCCATGAGACCTTCCCATTGGACTCAGCAGGAGCTCTGCTCATAAATCCCTTGTGCAGATTTGCATGCGTATTCTTCACATATGTTATGCAAGCTAAAATCCTAAAATATACAGTGATAAACAAGTGTGAATTTCCAGAGATAGCTACATTGTTTCAGAATGAGAAAGAAATAACACAGAACCCTTGCCTAAACCACTAAACCCACTCAAATCTTTGATGGTGTTTTCAAAAACGAAATGCTGCTTTCATCTCCTCCCAAATCATTTCTCACAGTTGTTTGTCCAAACTGCTGGCCAACGTGGAAAAAAAATCCCATTAGGCAACATGAGGGAGTCCTGCTGGGTTTCTAGCCTGAATGGAAGCAGTAAGAGCTCCACAGGAGACATAACAAACCTGTAAGAGGGATTTTCTACCTATGGGCCTGAGCCTGAAATCACTGAAATCTCTCTGTATTTTCAAAAGGAGGCATATTCCTTGTTTCTTGCTCCTTTGCTGGCTGTAAGGGAAGAGGCAGGGAGGGCTGATATGCTGCTGTAGGTCCCAGCATTCTGGGACCTCTAGCAATGGGGAACAGCAGGATCATTCAGACTCAGTAGCTATATGCAGATAAACCTCCTTGGAAAACTCCTGGTGTGTAAATGAAGGATTTGCAGGCGGATCTTTCATGTGTGCCATGAACTAAAGTTGCCAAAGAAGATGACCTACTTTGTGCCAATGAAAGGCATGAAATCAGCTAAGGACAGAAAAATGCAGTCCCACAACCTATAAAGATTGGAAAATATCTGTGGATGAAGTTTAAAGGATCCCAGACTCATTCAAGGTGCTGAGAGCCTAAAAAGTGCTTCAGTTCCTAAGGGGACAGATGAATTTCTTTATCGGGAAGCAGCGCCCAGTGCACATGGTAGCACACCACCTTAGAGGAGCTGAACTCCCCACGTCAGCTGCAGCACAAGGGGCACCAACTCCATCCTCCTGGCTACCACAGACACAAAGGAAGTGAAATTGGCCTCTGCCAGCAAGAAAAATGTGATGCCTGCAATGTTCTCTCCTCTGACCTTAATGCTATCAGGCGACTGATTCAACAAAGCAGTCAGCAGACCACCAGAAAGATCCTTTTCTTAGACGGCAACTGCGACCACACCGACTGCTCCTTTTATCCTTTCAGCAAAACCCTTTTATCTTCCCTGCCAAGCACACGAGCAAGCACCTTTACTTCCAGGTCCTTTCCACTTCTTATTTGTTGGCTGTGGAGAGGCTGACTCCTACCTCCATGAGACCAGCCCTCCTTGCTGCCTTGTTTACAAGAAGAAAAGGTCTCATTCTGGAATGGAACAGTTAACTAACTCCTCACCCTCCCTCAGCCCGCCCAGTAAAACTCCTTTGCGGGATGTACGCAAAGCCTAGAGGACACATTGGCTAGAGAGATACTGAGGCTGCTGCCTTTTGGACTGACCAATACAGCCCTTTTTTGTTGCTGTTTTCCAAGCAGTCTCAACTTAATCTGTTGTTCCTTGTCTAACATGCAAATAAGCTCTTTTGGAGCATGGATTTCCCTTTTCTTCCCAGTTTCTACAGCGGTCTGCACTTATGGCTCCAAGAACTATGATGACAAAAGCAGAAGTACTAACAAAGATCGCAGATCTTCAAGGGCAAGATCTGACTACCGTGCTTTTCAAGGAAGGGCTAAAGATCTGGTACAAGCACCAAAGCCTGGTACACGCCAACATTCATTCACAGCACCTCACACGGCAATAAGGGAAGGTATCATTTACTCACCTTAAGCCTGACTTGTTCATAAATAACGATGGGCCTGTTGCTGAAGGTAATGGCATTGCAGAAGCTAGCCTGGCGCTTCACTGCCTTCTGCGTCGTGTCCATGATGATCTGGGATCCCTTCGTGTGGGGGTGGAAAAGCAGAGGGCTGATGGACAGAGCTCCACACTGGGGGATGGGGAGACAGTGCTTCTGCTTGTGGTGGCATCGGTGGGAGGAAGCCGAAAATGACCCACCTATGGAATCTGAAAGCAGAATGGGGAAAAAAGGGTTTCAAATCTGCTGTGAGTAATAAGTAAAAACCGTTCAATGCAAAAAAAAAAAAGCAGAGGTACTTCAGAGGGGAACGATAGATCAAAATAAAAGTTATTCAAATCCCCACTCTGTAAATCACTAAGGGTTTCTAGAGCATCTTGAACAATAACAGGGCACAAGGATCCTGAAGGATCCTGTCTGGACAGTCTGACAGTACAGAGCATGACATGGAGAACACAGCTCAGCACTGAAATCACGGGCCATCTTGAGGCCACGCATCAGAAGAGAACGCAAGAATTGGTTCCAGAACTGGAGCAAAACACGTGTGAAGTTGCTGTATCAAAGCTGTCACATTCAGGGAAAATCTTCCACTTCCAGAGGACTACCACACAACTTGACCATTTCTCTCACCCCTCCTTTGCAACAGCAACTCCATCTGTCCTTGCCTCCATCTGTCCTATCCAACCTCACTAAGTCCCAGCTCAGACGCATACATCACTAATTTATACTCAAGCACTACTCAGCAATAACCCACCTGGATTCTTCCACCAACCACCATCCATTCTCCTCTCTCCTCCACTGATGGGAACCTCAGCTGAGATCCCACTTGTCATGAAGGCATTGATCAGCAAGCTACGATTACAGTGAGGAACGTGAAGAGGGAGAAAGGCTATGAAGAAGGGAAGGGATTACGTCTTTCTCTAACCAAGGCCCTACACAAAGAGTCAATGCACGACCAACACAGTCACGACAGCAGCTTTGTTCATGAATGAATGGATGCGTGAGTTTCTTTTCAACAGGGAGCCTGCAGCAGTTCAAGCACAAAACAATCATTACACTGAACACAAGTCATCTGTTTCCTTTTCCTTGCGTGCCCATACACACTACATTATGCACATATGTCTGGGAGGAGATACTTGTAGATTTGGAAACAGTATCAACAGAATAAAGGATTATTCTGTGATAGACTCAGGAATGCAACAAAAGCAAATACGACCTTAACAATGTGCCAGTTTGCACTGTAAAGATGCATGACTAAACAGTATGGTTAAAAACTCTATTCCTCAAACACGGGAACTATAGAAACTAATTATATACATTCTTCATGCAAATTAATTGCTGACAGTTATGTCTTTATATGGCTACTATAAAATAATGCTCTAATGTAATTCTTGGCTTTGTAATAACAAGCCTGGACCCTATCCTCCCAGCCTCTGGCGTAGTTTTAGCTTGTAGCTACATGAAGTTGTAATGGTACATCATCAGGGCGAGCTTGAATAACTACCAAGAGAACCTAAAATCCTGGGTTCTGATGAGAACATTTTAATTCAGCTTCAGCATCAGTCACTCCGGCCTTCTCCTCTCATCCCCTTGCTGTTTTTTTTGCATTTTCAGCAACAGCGCTATCCCTTCAGAACAGAGCAGGGAGGCCAGATAAACAGGACTTCAAAAACTTTCATTAATGCTTTAAGGGAGAGATGAACCAACTGGGTGTTATTTGATGCTAAAAATTATGTGGAATGTAAGCAATCTTCCTTCTCCTGTTCCTCACGCATGGAGGAGGAGAAATAAGGTGCAGAGTACCAAGAAAAAGTAGAGGTTCACCTGAGCAGGCAGGTCGGTGAGGGAAACCTTCAGGAGGAACAGACTGTGTGGAGGGGGCAGCTTGACACAGGGAAGGTCAGGATGAAGCAGCTCACAGGAGCCTGACCTTTCCCTTTGGGCATGCTGCTGACCCAGGGCAGTGCACCCTGCCTCTCCCCACAGCCCAGGCTGGGTGGTCAGAAGACAACACAAGCTGCAGCAGCCCCATGGAGAGAACCTTCTGAGGTTACCTCCTAAGACCTGTTTAATTAGAGGCTGTCTTAGGCCCCAAAGAACAGGAGGTTGCATCCCTTCCAGTATCACTAGCTCTTTTCCAAACCAGATACGTTCTCTATTGCTACCCCTCTGGAACCCTGTTAAGCCCTCGGCTTTAGTGATACCTTGGTATTTTGCAAAGTATTTCCTTTATCACTACAAACATGATGCTGTTCACCATCACAAATGATTATGAGCCAGAGCCAGCAAAAGTGCCCGACTTAACCTTGCTCCACTCCACCTCCCCAGGTGGGTCACGCTGGTCTGTAGGGACAAGACCATTGACAGATGGTCAAAGCAAACCATCCCAGCCTCTCTTTTGGCAGAAATTTTTCAGGCCGCTGGATCTCCTCATTGCTCATCTCTTAGCTGCCTCTCTGTTTCTGCTATACCCCTTTTGTATAGGTAGACTAACTAAAAATAAACATCTAGTGTAACAACTTCCACTCCTAAAGTTTTCAGATTCTCTATACATGAAGTCACAGTTATTTCTGAAACAAGACACATATTGAGGGATATAATAAACTGTTTGAGATAATTTAAAGTCAAGGGATCCATAGAAAAATACGAAAAGCTTTTTTTCTGGTCATTCAGTCTTGTTTTTTTTCAACACCTCTTTGATAATTTCTAGGGGTGCATATATGTGAAAGAGAAGAAGCTACCAGTGAATATACATTCAATTCATGCCATCTTTGCATCCAGATCTGAATTTTGTAGCTCAAACTTTTTGCTAGCAGTCACTCGCCAAAACAAACCTGTGCAGAGCAAAGGTACACACATTTTAACCTATTTGCATATCTCAGTGCTCTAATTTTACCGGATAACTTGGCTGTGATAATAGCTGCCGCACCTCTCCATAGGACATCGTGCCCTTTTAAAATGCGGTAATGGAGTCACCAAAACTGCCCACAGCTTTCAAAACAGGCTCTGATAACAACACCGCATATGTCCAGAGCATCTGCTGGAGCAGCGTTACAGAGCCACAGGGTCCTGCCTGACCCCACGGGAAGGATGTTAGAGGAATGCTTATTTGCTGTGACAGGCCGGCACTGCTATGCGAGAATGGGTCAAACCCAGGCCAGACCAGCACCTGCAGGATGAGTGCCCCCCATGCAGACAGCTGAAATGCAGGGCAATCATGCTCTATGGGAACAGAAGAAACCACCCCAGGATCAGCTTCCACAGGTGGATAATGCAAAAAGGGAGGAGACCCCCTTCTTTCTCCCAAATGCTCTTACACAGCAATGACTCCTGCATGATGAACACACTCAGGTAAGGACCAGGAAAGGTCTTAATTTTTAAAAAGTGCAACTATTTAATAATGGGATTTTGCACCTTAAAAATACTTGGAGAAGTTACAAAGCAATACATCAAATACAAAGGCCTTTGCTCAACTTCAGCATGTCCACTCCAAAAGGAGGAGACACCACACAACTTTAGCTGGCAACACAAACACCTAAGACTGGACTTAGACAAGGAAAGGGACACTTTGGCCACACAAGCTGGTGAGATACATATTGCTATTCTTGCTTGGCTGGCTAAAAATAAATCATCTGCTTAAAGTTTTTGTTCTCACTGGGCTGGACCTGGACTTCAGCCATCTCCCATCCCCTTATTTCAACTCTTACACATTTTGACATCCTCAGCCTTTGCTACCAGCAATACTGGTACAATACAGCTGAGGCCTTTGCAGTAGGTTTCAAATTTTTTTCCTTATGTAAAAGAATTGAGTAAAACTCACAAACCCAGAGTTTCAGTTGGCAAAATACGCAAAAGTCCTCCTGATTTCACAGCAACCATGCAAGACTCCATTAATTGAGAGTCTGTCCCAGACTCCTCCTCTCCCACAACCTGACTTATCAGTCACCTACAAAGGCAAAGCGAAGTAATTGCTTGAAATAAAAATTGCAAACAAATATGTATTGAAAGAAGGCTGAAATCTGAGAACAAGTTCAAGGGCACTGCAGGTTTCCCACTCCATAACATAACACAACTTCCCCCTGACAAGCAGGAATTGTAACAACATGCCAGGACTACGCAAACTGGTATCTTGTGACAAAAGTCCCAAGAGCAAAATCATGCCTGTTTGAAAACAGCCTCTATGTCAAAGGGCTGCGACACTAAGAAGCACCACAGACCCCCATACAGCTTTCCAGGTTTCACGTTGGGGGTCACAAAGAACAGCATCTGCTCACTCTTAGGGTTTTAAAGATTGGATAGACTTCAGTTTTCAATTCACGCCCAACAATAGATGCTGTTTGAACTGTTTCATTCAGTACTGGGCTGGAACCCTGAACACAGCCTACCCCTGATACCATGAGCCCCGCCAAGAGAGCAGCAAAAGTGGCAATGTACCACTTGCTCCCCTGAGCCACAAGCACGTGGGATGGATCCTCTGAAACCTTTAGTAAGCCAAGGTGAAGGAGATGTTACATGAACCTACCGCTCTGCCTTCAGTGTTCCACTGCTAAGCGCATCCTTTTTGGAGCCCTGTTTCAGAAAGCCGAATGTTGCCCCAAAGGTGGCACGTTTCTCCCTCCATGTGTGTTAGATGTCCTTGGTCTCCTGGATCTCAAGGCCTGAGCAGCATTCACACAATATATAAAAGGCAGCACTGGATGTTCTCAGCTTAGCAAAATGCATCCCAAAGCCTGTTAGGGGTTTTCACCAAAAGCGTTCATGCTCTGCAAACATGAGGCATAATCTTAAAGGCTTGGGATTTCTTAAATGCTGCAAGAAATTACTGGATTTAATTTTTTTAAAAGACATTTTTTCCAGTTGAAAAAATCTCAATAGGCACCTATCAGAATACTGTCAAAACTCATTTCAGACTGAAAACTAACTGCCAGGTATTTAAGATAAACTTCTTAGAGCATGTGAAATAAGTGGCGTTCAGAATTGAAAGAAAGAGAAAAGAGGACTTCAAAAGAGAGCCCAGGGACTTACATGCAATAGCAAGTGGGAACGACAAATCCTTGTCCACCTGGAGAGGAGAAGGGAGAGGTCTGGGGTGGGTGACGGAGGTACCTGTCCTGCAGGTTAGTGACAGTGGAA